TGTGCACAATTTAAAAAAATTGAATAGTTTTGGACCAATTTGTTAAGTTACTAATTGTGTTTCATTGCATTCGTAACACAATTTGTTTAGTTTTGATTATTAGTTTTCTTCTAAATTTGATTTTTCCCAATGGATTCCACTTTCAGATGACCTGCCTCTGAAGACTTCTGAGGATCTGTTGGCAGGACAAGGTGCCAGACACAGAAGTTCTCTTCAGAGCAGGCCTGCTATCAGTTCACACCCTGCTGATGAAAGCCCAGACACACTGGGCGGGCCAAGGTAAGAATATGAACCTGTCAATAAATAAATGTAATACAGAATTTTACCCTTTGTTACACTAACCCTCAATAAGTTGTAAATTATAGATCTTTTTTGAAGTGAATTTGTGCCCATACATTTCACACTAAAGCATTTACATGTTCTGAACAAGAATTACAAGCACTTTAAAGCAAGTCCTCATTCACCTCTGTAGATATAGGCATTGAGGAGAAATTCTAATTCAACAGAAGCTCTTGGCTCTTTTGCTGTTACTTTCTATTGCATGAGAATCCTGTCAGCCCTATAATGTAAACACACAATAAAGGTTTATAGGCTGTTCGAAACTAAAACCTGAATTTTGAGTGTTTATAGTGCTCTTTGAGAATTCGTTTTTCCACAGTACAATCACCTAGAGAGGGCAGTGAAGACTTGATTTAAAGCTCATTTTGTGCTCAATATTTTAAACATCCATAGTCTGTGCACAGGTGCACTTTAAAGAAATATACAAAATTATAGTAATTTTAGACTGAACATGCACACTCTTGCACAAAGCCAATTGCGAATGGTTCTCTTTAATACATTACTCGAAATATTTTGGAAATGTTTCTGCAGACACTCATACCAATACTTGCTCAGAGTGTGCAAAAAAAAAAAAAAGCAACAATTCTCTTTTAGAGAGTTTCCTCTTTCCAGGAAAAGGGAAGTTGAGGTGCAAACTTATTTCAGAAAAGGTATTTTTAGGCAGGAAGTATAATCAAGATGTCTCTTACGAATTTTATGAGATAAAAATCAGAAACGATCTGGCTGAAAAAATCCATTCTTGGAATTCTTCTTATCACCTCCCCTCTGAAAACAATTACCATTTCTTATCAATAACTGTGTCCATTCCAACATACATCCTCATTAATTACTCCTGGCAGAAGATCGCATTATGCCGTCCTTATTTAGAGTCGCCGGCTTGTCCTCCTTCCTCTGAATAAATGAACCGCTCTCTCTCTTTCATTCACTTGACGCACTGTGATCGTCTTTCAGAGGATATTGTTTCTGTAGCAGATAAGATATTGAGATACACTGCTGAAGTTGCTTGAAAGTTCCAAAAGAGAGGAAATCATTCCAGTGGCGGCTTTGCTTCTTAACGTAAAGGGCATCTCCAACCAAATTAATTCATGATAAAACCGCATGCACTTAAATATAGAAAAATCCTCAGGGAAAAAGTGTTAAAAACACACAAGGAAAATCTGAAGACACATCTTAAAGTGGTTATAATCCCTCACATATATCCAGTGAAGTGACTGGCCTTGGGTGATTCACAGAGATGAAACAAATCCTCCTACATATGTTGTACCTGTTTATCTGCAGTCATCTCTTTTCTACATCCGTTCAAAATTTTGAATTTATAAAGCTTGCCTGAGCTTCCAGAAAACGGGATGGAGAGGTGAAATTACACACTGCAGAGTTCAGTTAGGAGAACTCTGAGAGCTGATTGGAGGAAAGCAACCCTCCTACCCTTCCTTCACATAGCACACGAGAACAGAGCTGAGGCTGCCAATCACAGACTGTGTGCAGGAGCTCTCTTCTCCTTTCACCATTTTTGTGATAGCAGAGTAATGAAGCAGCAAACCGAAATGACAATTAGTTCTCTTTACTACTTGCCCTCCAGAGGATTTACCACCCCTTCCTGACCAGGTCATTTTTTGCAATTACGGCACTGCGTTTTAACTGACAATTGCGCAGCCAATCACAGACTGTGTGCAGGAGCTCTCTTCTCCTTTCACCATTTTTTTGTGATAGCAGAGTAATGAAGCAGCAAACCGAAATGACAACTAGTTCTCTTTACCACTTGCCCTCCAGAGGATTTACCACCCCTTCCTGACCAGGTCACTTTTTGAAATACGGCGCTGCGTTACTTTAACTAACAATTACTCTATCATGCAATGCTGCACCCAAATGAAATTTATGTCCTTTTTCCCCCACAAATAGATGGTATTTGATCGCTTCTGCGGTTTTTATTTTTTGCGCTATAAACAAAAAAATACCGACAATTTTGAAAAAAAAATCAATTTTGACTTTTTGATATTAAATATGTCCAGTAAAAAAAATTCAAAAATCAAATTTCGTCATAAATTTAGGCCAAAATGTATTCTGCTCCATGTCTTTGCTGAAAAAAATTCCAATACGTGTAAATTAATTGGTTTAGGTGAAAGTTATTGTGTCTACAAATGGCGGTATATATACTGGAATTTTTTTTTTTTATACTAGTAATGGCGGCGATCAGCGACTTATAGCAGGACTGCGGTGGGCATTCAGACACTGTGGGAGAACTGGCTGCCACTGACATCCCCATTGACACTAATACAGTGATCTGTGCTAATAAAAAGCACTTACACTGTACTAATGGCACTGGGCATGAAGGGGTTAACATGTGGGGCAATCAAAGGGTTAACTGTGTGCTGTTTTACTATGTGTGCGATTTACTGTGTAAGCACGCTACTATGGAGAGCAAAAAAAATCAGCATGCTGAAGCTGACAGGGGAGAGATCTGTATTGTCTATATACAGACCTCTCCCCTGTCAGTGTTCTTCGGCAATCGCCGAGTGCAGGCGGGGAATCTTCGGCGATCGCCGGATGCCGGCAGGGAATCTCCGGCCGGGACCTGGTGATCGACAGCCGTAGCCACCAATGGCAGCACAGGTAGGGCGGCGCACACACGTGCCCCCAACCCAGAAATGCGAACTCGCATATATATGTGATTTTGCGCAGCTCTGCGCCCTGTAGCAGTATTTGTGCTAGAGGGTGGCGGGGAAGTAGTTAATAAAGACAAGTACACATTATAGAAGGATATGTTTTGTTCATGTTTCCTGTCTGAGGTTTACAACTGCTTTCAAATGCATATGAGTAGAATCGCCAACCATCTGAGCAAGGGTGGACTGACAGCTCATTGGGCCCCTGGGCAATAGGGGATCATGGGGCCCCTGTGTCCTTGCCCAAACTCAAAAAAGCCTATGAAAAAGGTACCAGGGGCATCTCATGGGGACCCTACTGACCCCGGGCCCTCGGGCAGTGCCCGAGTTTCCAAATGGTCAGTCCACCCCTGCATCTGAGTGACTCAATTCTAATCCTGGAACTTGCCCATTGGGGATGCTGGAACACCCTTTATGCAGTCTCTCAAATATATAAATATGTACAGCTGCCCAATCACTTTCTGTGACCAGGGTGTGCTCCTCAGTTCAACCCCCTCCTTTACACTTCCCAGGCTCCCCTATCCCATCTATGGGCCCGGGACCCTCAAGGTGGGCATTGCTGGGTGGAGGGGAGGGAAACCAGTACAAATCCGTTTGAAGATTTCCCCTAGCTAGAATTAAGAAATGACATGTAAAGGTGCATATCCACCTGCAAATGCACCAGTATTTGGATTAGCTGCAGGAGGCAACCCCATTGAACGCACCATAAACTTCTTCCCTGGCCCTTGCAGAAGTGACACCAGAAACAAGAAGTGATGTATTAGGAGGTATACCTGGAAATGCACCCACACTCCAAACAGATATGAGAACCCCAGTGGGGGTTCCCCCAATCAGCTGAAAGCAATGGGAGGTTGGCAGCTCCAACAGCTAATTGTGGCCACTCACATATAATCGCTCATGCATTCTAGGTCCAGGGCCGATCACTCGCATGTGATTCCTGCATGAGCTGCATGCATTAGCTGTTGGAGATGGCAACCTCCCATTGATTTCAGCTAATCGTGGGAATCCCTACTGGCGTTCTCACATCTAATTGGAGCGTGGTTGCATTTTTGCAGGTATACCTCCTAATACATCACTTCCGGTTTCTGGTGTCACTTCTGCAAGGGCCAGGGAAGAAGCTAATGGAGGATCATCTGGACTCCATTAGTTTTAATCGAAGGCAGATGAGACATCAGGGGCCTAAAAGACCCCTGATGCCTCATAAAGGAGAGCTTGTCTTAAAAATATATCACAGTCACATGTCCCCTATGTATAACAATTCATTTTTTTAGGAACAGTAAAAAAAAAAACCTAGAAAAAAAAATTAGGTTACACCCAAGAACTTAACCCCCACCCCTGCACCCCCCAAAACAAATTTTAAACCTACCTTTCCCCCACGTACACCCTAACCAATGAGCACTTGCCATTTTTTATTCCGATGCTGCAGCTCGGGGCATCACGACCGCTACGTGCGGCAGGATCTGGGTGGATGGCCAGGATATTTGGAATTAGCTCATCTTTTAATTTTTCATGAATAGGTGAACTTGTTCTTTATTATTAAATAATAAAAAAAAAAAAGGAAATCTTTTGTAATCACATGACCACTACTGTAGAGTCTCATACTGGCCACTAGATGTGCAGAACGGGAGAGGTGCTAAGAGTTGGTGGGGGCACCATGAGGAAGACAACTTGGGGCCACCAAGAGCTGTCATATCACTAAGAAAAAAAAAACTAACAAACTAAAACAAACGTTGTCTCATTACAAAAGAATGAGATATCAAATGTTTTCATATACGAGTTGGTATCAATAAGTTTTGAGACTAGTTTTGTTGCACACCAACAGATGGCAGAAAAAGGCTGCATGCACAGGCACAGGGAACACTGACCTTTATAAGTCAGTGTGCCAAAAGACATCCTGTGTACAAAGGGAGCTATGCAGCTGGTGCTATTTTGACCACGTGAGTTACCACTTCTGCTATTTCATCATGGACAGCAAGTTCGAACAAAGAGCAAACATGAAATTCTGTGTGAAAATGGTGACCTTTGAGCTGGATCAGCATCTTCAGGAAGAGGGCATTTTCTGAGGATGAGCTCATTGAAGGTCTTCCTGATCTCTCGACATTTGGAGGATATCTGTACTGTTCTGACATTTGGGGGATATCTGTCCTGTTCCTGACATTTGGGGGATATCTGTACTGTTCTGACATTTGGGGGATATCTGTATCTGACATTTGGGGGATATCTGTACTGTTCTGACATTTGGGGGATATCTGTACTGTCCTGACATTTGGGGGATATCTGTACTGTTCTGACATTTGGGGGATATCTGTACTGTTCTGACATTTGGGGGATATCTGTACTGTTCTGACATTTGGGGGATATCTGTACTGTTCTGACATTTGGGGGATATCTGTACCGTGCTGACATTTGGGGGATATCTGTACCGTGCTGACATTTGGGGGATATCTGTACCGTGCTGACATTTGGGGGATATCTGTACTGTTCTGACATTCTTGGACCTCAAGAAATTAGATTGGCCGTCAGTACTTCAGGATTGATCAATATTCAGATCTATATATAGTTTGTGAACTCTATAACTTTCCTACAGGCTAAATAATACATCCTAATTTGGGTTATTTTCACCAAAGACATGTAGCAGAATACATCTTGGCCTAAATTTATGAAGAACAATTATTTATTTGCAAACTTTTATAACAGAAACAAAGAAAAACGTGTGTTTTTTTCAAGATTTTTGGTCTTTTTTTGTTAATTTAGCAAAAAAAAATAAAACCCCAGTGGTGATTAAATACCACCAAAAGAAAGCTCTAGTTGTGTGAAGAAAATTATAAAATTTTAGTTTGTGTACAATGTTGTATGACCGCGCAATTGTCATTCAAAGTGTGAGAGCGCTGAAACCTGAAAACTGGCCTGGGCAGGAAGGTGTAAAATTGCCCGGTTAATCGGTTAATCACCCTAGTGGCTGTATAATAATATCATCACCATATATGAATACACTTGTCCCTGAAGGCAGGGGGAATGTTTAAAAAAAAATAATAATTCAGCCAATTTGGGCAGGTCTTAAGTTTGACTGCTGATGTAGACACTGCTGGTCAGGAATCCTACTCCAGCAATCAACTCCCTTGCACAGATTCAAACAGGAAAGTCTTTCATTGAGGTCATTCAAGGTCCTCATTTTTAACTGAAGCCCTGACGAAGAGGGAGTTCCTTTGACCCCCGAAACGCATTGAACCTAACATCAATAAATGAATTTGGACTCTTTTTTTCTGGTCTGGTGCTCCTTCCATATGTGTACAATTTGGGTAGGAGCACTAATCCTAAAGTGTATCTAAACTCATAGCCAAAAATGTAATACTCTATATTGCAGACGACTAGTCATCGGTGTGGTGGCTCCATATGTTTTATTTTTTCTTTTTTTACGCTTCTTTTGCTTTATTTTCACCTGGTAATCCTGCAAATAACACACTTCCTGTCTCTGTGGCTACGTCACTCCTCCACTGTATCTGCGGAGGGAGCCATAGTTGTTACTCTAGGCTGCTCTTCTGATATGGACTACAAACATGTCTGTATCTCTTCATCTCCATGACCCGGGGGTGGGGCAATTGGTAATTTACTGAAGATAGCCCCATCACTCCTTCTCATGGCATTCGTTCACTATACAGCACTAGAAGGAACTATATATATATATATATATACAGGGGCCACCGGCTGCACGGGTCCAGGGAGGCCTGGTTCCCAAATCATGCGGCCCGGGCCCCGGTGTTCCCCACTCCATCCTGTCTTCAGCAAATGCTCTGTTCATCATCTCTGGAGCTGCTTGCCAATTGCTTCAGTGTAAGTCACTTATGTTGTTTGAATAAAGTCTTTGCCTCATTTTACTGATCCAGTAATGGGGTTGCTTGTTTCCTTTGCAAATGATAGATAGGAAGGAAGATATTCTTCACAGGAAGTTACATAGTTAGTCTGGCTAAAAAAAGACAAAAGTACATCCAGTTCAACCATTAAAAACCAATGTTCCCACTGATACAAGATGTTATTCTTCCCACTGACACCAATGATGATGCACCATTTTTTCCACTGACACCAAAAGTTACTTAGTTAGTCTGGCTAAAAAAAGACAAAAGTCCATTCAGTTCAACCATTAAAAAAAAAAAAAAATAATCCTACACCCACAGTTGATCCAGAGGAAGGCAAAGAAACCCAGCAAAGCATGATCCAATTTGCTCCTGCAGGGGAAAAAAATTCCTTCCTGATCCCCCGAGAGGTAATTGGATATTCCCTGGATCAACCTTATCTATAGGAAGTGACACGGACACAGCATTTCTGGCAGGATCAGAAATTTTGGCCAAAATATTTTCTGCTGCATGTCATTGGCATAAAAAAAGTGTATATTGGTTGGTTTGCGTGAAAGTTATAGTGTCCACAAACTATGGTATGTATATTGGAATTTTTATTTATTTATTATATTTTATCACCAATGGAGGTGATCAGCGACTTATAAAATGAAGCGTGGAAGGTACAATGGGAGAGGAGTGTGGAAGGCATGACATGAGAGGAGAGTGGAAGATATGATGAGAGAGAAGCATGGAAGGTACGGTGGGAGAGGAACGTGGAGGGTACGACAGGAGAGGAGTGTGGAAGGCATGACATGAGAGGAGAGTGGAAGATATGATGAGAGAGGAGCGTGGAAGGTACGGCGGGAGAGGAACGTGGAGGGTACGACGGTAGAGGAGTGTGGAAGGCATGACATGAGAGGAGAGTGGAAGATATGATGAGAGAGGAGCGTGGAAAGTACGGTGGGAGAGGAACGTGGAGGGTACGACGGTAGAGGAGTGTGGAAGGCATGACATGAGAGGAGAGTGGAAGATATGATGAGAGAGGAGAGCGGAAGGTACGGTGGGAGAGGAACGTGGAGGGTACGACAGGGAGAGGAGTGTGGAAGGCATGACATGAGAGGAGAGTGGAAGATATGATGAGAGAGGAGCGTGGAAGGTACGGCGGGAGAGGAACGTGGAGGGTACGACGGTAGAGGAGTGTGGAAGGCATGACATGAGAGGAGAGTGGAAGATATGATGAGAGAGGAGCGTGGAAAGTACGGTGGGAGAGGAACGTGGAGGGTACGACGGTAGAGGAGTGTGGAGGCATGACATGAGAGGAGAGTGGAAGATATGATGAGAGAGGCGGAAGGTACGGTGGGAGAGGAATGACGACGGGAGAGGAGTGTGGAAGAAATGACATGAGAGGAGAGTGGAAGATATGATGAGAGAGGAGCGTGGAAGGTACGGTGGGAGAGGAGCGTAGAGGGTACAATGGGAGAGGAGTGTGGAAGGTACAGAAGGAGAGGGGTGTGGAAAGTACGACAGGAGAGGAGCTTGGAATGTACAACGAGAGAGGAGCGTTGAGGGTATAACTGGAGGAGCGTGGAAGGTACAGTGGGAGAGGACTGTGGAAGGTACGATAGGAGGAGTGCGGCGGGCAATCTGACACCAACTGATGCTGAGGGAAACTGACGAAATGCCACCGACATCATCAGTGACATTAATACAGTATTTGCTGAAAACGTTTTTAGCTTATAAAAAAAAACTGATGAAGTTAACACATCTATGGACTCTAAGCTGCAAACTATTACATTTTGTTCTTGGGTTCAGTTATCCTTTCATTTACAGTATATACATTTCACAATGAATTAGAAGACAAAGAGGATTAACATTTGGTGTCATTATACAGAACGCATGTTCATCTTCTATCATTCCCGCTGACTGTGCAGCAAAGCAATAAGCAGAGCTTTCATTAAAATGGTAAATATAGTGTCTGGCTAATAAAAACAAATTGAATATAAATATGGGAGACATTAAGTGTTTGTTTAGTAGCATGTAACCTGACAAATCCTCTAATTACAGTGTTGTTCATACATTGCACTCCATTAAAATATGATAAGAGGAGACATTAGACTCCGAGGCTGTAATCAGCCAGCCCCAGGGGCACCGAGTGCTCAGGATTCCACTGACCTGCTATTCACAAACTGTATTACAAAGAAAAAACATTAAATTGACACGAGAAACAATATAATACTAAACAACAATGTACGTCAATGAGTGAATGGAGCTGTCCACGGTGCTGAAGTCCAATGTCTGCAATAGGGAGGATTCACATGTACGTGGGTTGAGGCAAATTTCTATGATTTAAGTTATGGAGCTGAAACTGAACCCCATTGGGGTCAATGGGAGCCAAATATTAAAAAAAAAAAAAAAAAAAAAAATAGTGGCCATTTTCCAGGCTAGTAGGCAAGGGATTGTCAAACGATGATATGCTTAAAGTGTTACTAAACCCTGGACCCTGCATTCACTATATCCGGTCTCCCAGGACCCTGCATTCACTATATCCAGTCTCCCCAGACCCTGCATTCACTATATCCGGTCTCCCAGGACCCGGCATTCACTGTATTTGGTCTCCCCGGACCCTGCATTCACTATATATCGGTCTCCCCGGACCCTGCATTCACTATATATCTGGTCTCCCCAGACCCTGCATTCACTGTATTTGGTCTCCCCGGACCCTGCATTCAGTATATCCGGTCTCCCCGGACCCTGCATTCACTATATATCTGGTCTCCCCGGACCCTGCATTCACTGTATTTGGTCTCCCCGGACCCTGCATTCACTGTATTTGGTCTCCCCGGACCCTGCATTCACTATATCTGGTCTCCCCGGACCCTGCATTCACTGTATTTGGTCTCCCCGGACCCTGCATTCACTGTATTTGGTCTCCCCGGACCCTGCATTCACTGTATTTGGTCTCCCCGGACCCTGCATTCACTATATCCGCTCATTAACATTTCTTTTGTTTCCAAGGGTGGGAGAGGTCTGAGGTGTCAATTGGTCAATACAAGGTGTGACAAGCTTGGTAGGAACACATCCTGTGTTCAGTGTTTTGTCCATCTGAGTACCTTGAAAACGTTTTGCATTCGTTTTTTTATCATGAAAAAAGGCTCTGGACAGCATCAGGAACTGGAAGAGTTAAAACATTTTTTTTCACATGCAAACGCTTATGAAAAGCTAACGCGATTTGCTGCGTTTAGTCACTTTTGCGCTTGAAACGCTGATAAAATCAACTGCTGAACGTAAGTTTTCTGCGTTCAAAAAAATGACTGTAAACTCAAGTGTGCCTGTAAACGACTGTAAACGACGATGTGTACATGGACTGCATCAACTGCAGTGTACATGAGCCCTTAGAGAACGGAGAGTGGAGGTTCAGAAAGATGTTTGCAGATCAACTGTTTGAGCTAGCATTACTATACAGTGTGACATACATTGTAGTGTGCCCGCTGGGCTTCCTAGCTCAACCCCATACTGT